TTTCCTTTTTTTTTTTTTTGTCAAGTTTTCACAATGTTTATGTAACTGATTGGCTATTGGAATTGCTTCCAAAATTTTGTCGGATTAATTGGTCATCTAAGAAATAGATACCAATAAACATTTTTGACGGGGAGGGAGGTAGGGAAGGGTTAGGGAGAAGGAGGACATTTGGCAATAGAGATCAAAAAAATTTTAATTGCTGATTATTAGGTACTTAGTTGAGCTGAGTTCAGTTCATTTTGATTCTGTTTTGTTCTGTTTTGTTCTGTTCTATGTTTTTCCGATAATATATACTCTGTACTTTTATGTGAACACATCCATCTTATCTTATTGAAATTACACTAGGAACAAACCGGTGAAATGGATTAGACATTGAATTGTTTGCTATCGAAAAAAAAATATATCATAACAACTTTATTTTTGAACTTTTTTTCTTCCTTTCTTCTGAGAGACCAGTCAACAATATCAGCAAAAAAGAAGAAGTGTTAAGAGAGAGAAGGGAAAGCAAAAAAAAAAAAAAAGAAAAATTACTGAAAATATTGAAACACAAATTAGCAATCATTCATAAATCTATACAATAAAAAATGTTTTTCAATTATATCAACAAAAAAAAAAAAGAAATTTTGTGAAAGAATAAATGATTATAATGTTTTTAAAAGAAAAAAAAAAGAATTCTTTTAGACGAAGAAAAAAAAAGATGTATAAATTGAAAAAAGAAAAATTAAATTTTTTTTTTAGGAACTTTCACCAATAACTGCATCAAATGGTGAGGACAATGGTAAAGATGAGAAAGCACCAAAGAGTCGTCTACTATGGAGGCCGCTACAAACTTCAACAACGACATCGATGCCGTATTGTCTTCCAAAAACCAATCCACATCACGTAAAGGTAAAGGGCAAAAGTGATTTGGGTTTTAACCAATTTTTTACGACACTTTTTAGCGACAAATTTTTAGCTTGTTCAATAATTTTAACTGTAAAAATAAGGGCAAAAAAACCGGAAAAAAATGTTGTCAAAAATTATAAGTCACATGTTTTAACATAGCTTTCAATCTTTTCGTTTTTCTGCTTATTTAATTATTATATAATTCAAAATTAAAATCCCTCATTTCCGTTCCTCTTTTTCTCTTTCCCTTTTTTTTTTTTGTTGTTTATTTGTGAATTAAAGAAACGGAAAAAAAAATGGAGAATTTGCTCATTTCTCTTAAGCAGTAATAAACAACCGAACAGCAACTACTAAATTTGTTGGACTATTATTTTTAGAATTAAAAAATGGTTAGAAAATTAGAAGGGTGGGAGGGGGGGGGGGAAAAAAAAAGAAGAACTAAAAGTACATAACTTTTTATTCCAAAAATAGGGCGAAAAAACTTGATAAGGCGTCAAAATTGTTCAGGAAATATTGCTGTGACAGGG